AAGGGCTATTGCTGGGGCGTTGATGCAACATTGCAGCAATGCGTCTTGGTGGTACAGTTGCCGCAAGACACATTGTTGGAATGTTGGATCAAGGACTGCACACATCAACGTTTGATGCTGAGTTGTGTTGCGAAAAGGGCAGATAACCTTACAGCAATCCGGGCGTCCAGCAACAGGCTATCAATGGAGTTATTCTTTGATTTGGAAAAGGGCTGGTGCAAGGTCCATTGACGGCAACGTTGCTGGACGGTTCTCTTGCTGCCGCGTTGCATTTAGATGTCTTTGCAGCGCTTTGCGTCAACACCTAATAATACAAAGTAAGGCATGGCCTTGAGAATCTAGCAATCAGCAATTGTGGGCAATTCATTGATGGTACCGTCCCATTGCTGCTGCTCTCGGGGCGGATCTGCGTTCTTTCAGCTTGTAGTGCGCTTGCGTTTCCATATGCTCGCAGCTATTGGCTCGCTGTTGGCACGCTGTCTCCTTTGACAGCCCCGCCCAGGCATCCAACCGCGTCTGGTAGGGGATCTGGCATGCACTCCGATATGCCACGCAGGCGCCACACACAGCCAGGGCACGTTGATCATAACTCTCACCGGCCAGGGCACAGGAATGTAACACAACAACATCAACTACAGTTTGTTCAGAAAATTGTTTCTTTACAAAGATCTTACCTCCGATTTCTAGTCAGGACTGTCTATTATAAAATTGGCAAGGTTTGAAGCTTGATGACATCCCTATTATTGACCCCCGGAGAAGATCAGCACCACGGTCGATACCACGCTCATCTTTGCCTTCTCGAATCCTCGTCGTCCTGGTTGCTGTCCACGAACAACGACAGGTAAGTGGCGCTTGGAACTTCAAAAACCTGAGCATCGCGCAACACACAAGAGATCTTTCAGCATGTCGCGCCAGCCACGCTCAGGACAACTGCCTTTGCTCGTGGCGTTCGCTGCTGCTGCAGAAGCCGTTGCCGCTGGCAGCTGATGGGCTACTGCAAGAGGAGGCCTCCTCCCCCCAGTTCGCGAGTTGTGGATGGCAGGGGGGGGCAGGCCGAGCAGGCTTCCCCGCCACTGAAGGGGTTCCAATGGCCGCAGGTGGTTGTGATGGCGCACGGGGGCAGGTATGGTGGCCAGAAGAGGCACCCGCTGGGCGCGGCCGATTCCAGCCAGGACCCTCTTGGCTGACTGGCACGCGTTGTCCGACAGATCAAGGGGCCGGAACCCTAGCCTGCACCATCGCGCTCTGGGGCCCATTTCGGGACACCAGTGCGCGATGCTGCCGGTTGGGGATCCGGCTACTGGATCTGTGGGACGACGCGTGGCGCAGAACTCGGGGTACTTCGAGTGGGCGGGCATCTCCCGACTGGGGAGTTGATGGTGCGCCAGGTGGTTTGACAGCGCCTCTAAGGCAAGTAGGCGTCTCGCCAGCGGATGCTGTGGGACAAGTTGGTTCCCATAGAGGCACCCGTCCAAGGCTAATACGCGCCCGGGAACGGGCAGGGCGATGGCAAACAGGAGGAATGGGCTGAGAGGTGACCATCCAGTAGCACCACGTGGATCTGTACCAAGCGGCAAGGAGGAGGAACATTATCGCTTCCCTGCGCACGGGCTCGGGCAAGGCGGTGATCTACGTGCGGTTGATGAAGGATGTGGGGGAGCAGATCTGCTAGAGGAGGATTGGGATGAATGAGCTGAACGATAAGGGGACAAGGGTCAAGAGAAAGTGATCATCTTTCTGGTCCCCCAAATAGTGCTGGTGTTTCAACAATCGCGCGTTCTTCAGGTGCACACTGATTTAAAGGTGTGTGGGTTTCTGAAAGTTCATCATCATCACCAGCACAAATCACCGTCATTTGTAACATAACAAGGCAATGACGTAGCCGTCAACTTGCTATTTTGCCCGAGCAAAGCAGAGTCTTTTTGAAACTTCAGATGAACACATTGATGGACTGAATGTGTGGCACATGTGTCACTGCCCAACGTGAATCTTTTTATCCATTCTTTGCCTGGCAAGCTTTGCGGAATTTCCTTAATGGAGGGCTGCACCCAACAGCCTATTCAACACTCACGCCTCTTTTTGCCACTGTGCGCCATATTCTGCTGAGAGGGAGCCCTGGATCTTGAAAAAATGAGATCTGCCTGTTGGGGCCTCCATGGCATGCAGAAGTGCTTTTTGTCTGTGAGAATTTCATACCAGCAGCACGTATTCTTTTGTCTTTTGTTGTGTGGTGACCAATGACGCACGCTTGATGGATCCGCATATCATAATTTATTGGTGGATAATCCGCAGTCTGCAACCCGTAGTTTCTTGCATTGAGTTCCTGCTGATCACCTCCTTGTGGTGAAAATTTTATTAAATAAGTAATGAAGCTCAGAGGGAACATCAACGTTGACGAGTGAATCAAGCTATGAATTGATTGCATCTGATGCCATTGATTATTGTGCTTGCAACTGGACTGCATATTTGCGAGTGCAATGGGGATATATTGACGATTCCATGACGAGCACGTCATTCTCAGCAAAATCTTGACGCCACGGCTCCTGAACGTAATCGCTCCAAGTTCGCAGTGGACACAACGCTGGGTGCAAGGGCGGTTGATGGTCCAGCTTGTCTGCGAAAATGTAGGCACTGCCCACTCCCACGAGTTCCGCTCCTCGTGGACGCCGAGCGGTGCCACCCACGGGTGCCCTGACTGGCACCCGCGAGAGGCGTCGATCGGCGGCCCCAAGGAGTCAAAGCGGGCACTACGCTTCGCCGTGCATAGGTGGTGATCCGCTGCGGATCTCGTCCCTCCTACGGCATCCCGGGGAGGCCTGCTACCCCGCCCTTTAGCGGACGCACCGTTCGTCCGTCCGCAAAATACCATGTTCTCAGAAACGGACGCGCGCCACCACCTCCGTCTGCAAACTTTGCACTTTTTTCACTGTCGCCGTCTTGGACCCCGTTAGACAGCAGCCGGCCAGGCGCGCGGCGAACCGGTTTCCGTCCCCGGGTATGTACACGGGTACCCGGTTATTCGTGATTACCCGTGTACGGAGTGTACCCCGGTTAACCGGGTACACCCGGGTAGCCAAGTTCTGGAAACTCCGGGTACCCAGATCCGGTTTTCCCCCAGGGTATCACCCCTAGTACGCACGCAAAGCGACGCACAATCACTGCCAATCCGCTCCGATACCAGAAGCGCACGGCGTTCAATTTTGCGCTGCAAAATACGTGGACAAAGGATGATCACCGGGTTTTGTAGATGGAGCTCGCTGTGACGTGATCTGACGGCAGGCTGGTGGTGGAAGGTTAAAATACGTCGCTTATGGGGTGGCATAACACCAATGGTATCCTTGCTTCTTTCTTGCGGATGGGTGGGTTAGGGCGAGGGGGACATAGGAGGTTTCAAGTCTGTAGATTTGGTTACACCAACACTGGGAAGGATTTAACGGATTGTATTTAAGCAACCGTTGTTGTGCGTCATTTATGCTGTTCTCCCGCAATGGACGATGTTTATCAATGTTCAGCAACTTTTGGAATTTGATTGCCATCATTTTGCTACTGAATGTGTGTTGTACACACTGTGTTCTAGAAGTTGAACAACGTAACCAACGCCGTTGATCTATTCTGGAATCCTCGGCTGCTTACGTCGGCCCAGCGCACATGGCACAAACACGAATTCATTAGATGTTTCGTTGGCGTTCCCAACAACAGTACACGGACACCGGTAGTATACGCTTTGCCGTGACATGATGTCACGCATCGCCTTGTGCGTGCGTAACGCTCCTTTTGTCCCATCTTTCAATCGCTATTGATCAGAGAACGGGCAAATGTGTGCGCATTGAGCAACTGGCTGTCATTCGCCGTTCCCCAGCGCGATGTAGAGATCAAGTGAAAATCAACTTGACGTGTACACATGTTGTTTATTCGCCATTCCGACAGCGCGCATCGTCAAAGCCTGTCACAGCGTCCGACTTGAAAATCCCTATGTTTCCCTGCAAATTGCCCCCAAAATTCGTCCGCCCATTCTGCACACGCCCCCAACCCACACCCTCAAGCGCCTCCACATAGTCCAGCGCTTCGCAACGTCCTCCGCAATGGTTTGATCGCTGTGCCTCCAATGAATTAACACGCATCCACACGGTGCACACGGCCGTCCGGCGACGCCGGACCACCGCACTTTCCTCAGCCCCTCTGAGGCCCCAAGCTTCCTGCCACCGCAGCCCAACCACAGACCCGCCCTTAAAACCACACCCCAAACGCCCGACCGGTCAAGCGCGCCCCCACAGTCCTCACAACCTCAGCGCCGCCTCCTGCACCCACAACAGTTTGAGCCGCCCTGCATCCCTAAACACCCTAAAACCAACCAACCACCTCAACTCTGAAAGCAGAGCTTCAAAACGTTCTTTCCTGAAAAGTGGCGAAAGCAACCCAAGTAGAAAGCACTGACCCTTGTTCCACTTTTCCACACCCCTTTGGGGGGGCCCAGGAAAAAACAAAGGGGAAAACGGAAAGAAAAAGGGAAAACAAGGGACGGAAAGGACAAGAATGAGAAAAAGCACGCCGCATTCGCGCGGCGCGTCACGCCTCCGCCAGCGACCCGCAGGCCTCCCCCTCGAAGCCCTCGAAGCACAGGCAGGTCCCCTCGTCCAGGTCGCACAGCCCGCTGCCATTGCAGTCCTGAGGGCAGCCCTTGGGGCTCTGCGGGGCCTCCCGCGCCGCGGCCTCGCAGCCCTCTCCGTCGCACACCTCAAAGGTCCCCGCGGCGCTGAGGCCCATGAGCTCCGGCTGGGAGTTGACGAAGGCGGACGCGGGCGGCAGGCCGAAGGCGCCGGGCGTGGCCGCCACGGCGCGGAGGCTCAGGACGTGTGTGCCGGCGTCCAGGAAGTCGTAGCGGAAGGTGACAGCGGAGGGCAGCGTCTCCTGCGTGAGCGAGGTTGGAAAAGGACCTTCAGTACAATTTCCCCCTTTCGAAAAAAGAGGTACAACAGGGTACGGTGAAAATACATAATAAAAAGAAAACTGAAATATAAACAAGATGTCAAATATGCGGCACGGTATTTAGGTCTGGAGGCGCGGGCAAGCGCTGCAAGGTGCTGAGCCTTATATTAGGTGCCATGTATGGCCATATATAGATATATGCAAACAAAAGATATATGGCATCTTTTGTATATTGCCATACCACAGATATATTTTGCCATATATAGATTTTTTGCCACACCGGGCTCGTATCTGAGTTCACAGTCTTCAACCTGGGCAGAATAGCTGGAGGGCAAATGAGGCAGCTTTTGCTGCGCAAGGGGGGCAGGAGAAGGCGGTGACGACCGTTCACAAAGAGCGGCGCAGCTAACGTACAGGACTCTCCAGAAACAGCTTCTACCCGAACGAGGGCTCGTTTTCGAAACATGGGGCAGCGTGAGAATGTCGAGATGGCAGATGAGTTGGAAAAAAAGCTGGACTGAGGGTGAGCCGGTGAGCGGATTGAGGCTCCACCCTCGGTCCCCCTCTTTATCCTGTTTCGCACCCAGCCCTCCCGCCCTAGACGGTGGTGTTCGGTTTAGTTGTGGGATGGAGAGGCAGTGAGGGAGTGAAGCACGGGATTAGGGGGCTGACTCATGGGGCGAGTCCCTCGCTGAGTGGCATTAAGTACTAGCGAAGCGAATGGGCAAACTTGACGGATGAATACCTCGGGTACTGAACAGTAAATAGTGGTGAACTTGTAAGTGTTGTCATGGGGGAGTACATGACCGGGTGGGCTCAGGAAGCCGACAAGGCAGAAATCGCCTTATCTTACGTGCCATTGTTGACGCTTCTTTTGCTTCGATGGCGATACGTACCAACGCATTGACAATGCCCCGTGCAGCCCTCAGCATCAATTTCGACAATTTCGGTGCAACAATCTCCATGGCGTCAAAAGACACTGGAAGGTGAAAATCAGACAACCCTCGGCTAATGAATTCCTTGCTTTTCATGGTGAGCGGGCCACGAGATCGTTTAAGACTTGGGCACAGCTGGACGTCTCTCAAATACTACCAACACCTAACCACTGCTATCGCTACAAAAGCCCTACCGATTGACGTGCTCTCGACCACCAATGTGCGCTCCGAAACTCGCCTGGTGCACCCAAGGGCACCAACTCGTCGTGTCTTACACATCTACCCACGAATCCCGTTGCATGGTAGGGACTACCAATTCACGCATGGCAAACACTCTTCAATCCGATTTCGATATCGTCAAAACTGCCAAGCAGGTGCTGGAAACGATGTAGAAGTGCAGGAAATGGCGAGGTGCCATCACGAGGGCAGTGCACACCTGATCTGGGCAGTTGATTGGAAACGAGCTGAAGCTGTCCCCGTCTCTCAACAGTGAATCGCAGATTCCCGCGGAGCCGCCCGCGGTGTTGGGGTCCACGGGCTCCAAGCCGCCGGGCATAAGGACGCGCACGGTGGTCGCGTCCAGAGAGTCGGGTGTTGTGATCTGCGAACAGAGTCCAGCACTGTGAGAAATGGGCACCATTGCTCGAAACATACTAGCCATGGGCATTCACGGTACTTTGGCTGTGCACATGCAGCATGCTTGGGATTTGCTGCACACTGCACTGCTTGTGTATTGTTTTGCGTGTGAGCACTTGTGCAATGTATTGGGAGTTTGCCAGGACAGGATCTGGTACCGCTGCGATGTGCTGCAGGCTACCGACATGCGATATAGCTGATGCAACTAGTCCAACGGGCATTTCACTTGCACTTGATGAGCACCAGACGCGGTAAAAGAAAGCAACCAAATAGAGCGACGCATGCCAATGGAAGCGTCGAGTATGCCAGGGGGGCTGTGCAGCCGACCCTCCAGGGATTCCGCGGAGGCTCTGCAACAAGTCAAGGCGACCATTTGTTAGCAATGAGCACACAACAAACACATGTAGTTCAGGTCAATTACGGTTTGCTTCCGTTCGCAAATGCGGTATAGCAAATTCTACAGCGCCGCGTTTATGCACGGAAGCAAACTATGCGACTTCCCCACGGAAATATCGCCAAGAAATTGGCAATTTGAGCGCGGTGTCGAAGCCCATGTCAAGTTCCCGAACTGGGCAGCCATACCTGCACAGTGACGATGACTATGGAGCCCAAGGGGACCTTGGCCAGGGGTTCGCCCACGGGCTCTTCAAAGTCTATGGTGTGCCCCTGGCCCTCGGCGGAGAATTCCAGGGGCGCCGGCGGCGAGGCCAGGGCGGACCACGGGGTGGTGGTGGTGACGATGGGAGACTGCGGGGAAGTGAATTCGGCCTGCACCGCACAGATCGCACGCTCTTGCCACCGCTCTTTGATTTAGTCACAACGGTTAGATCTTCTCAGTTAAATGGTTGAATCTCCATAGTCAAGTTTTTGGTTGCCAAAGGGAACAGCCCAATCAACGCAGTAGCCAGCCTCGTTCGGGTTGCGCCAAGTGGGCACCGAATCGCGTCATCTTGGCCGCGTTTTTGGTGCCTGGTTTTCAACAGTTTGCGTGCCGTCGACGCCTGGTTGTTGGCGTTCGTGGCTTTCAGTGCATCGGCGTCGAGTGGACAGGCCAAGATGATGCAGTCTCCTTTCAGCAAGACTTCAGCAAGTGGAAGCCTTGACACTGTAGCAGATAATCTACAGTTTCTTGCTTTCTATGCAGATTTATATTCACGGAGATCGATCAGTAGTGTGTGGCCAGAAGCATATGATAGTTTGCATAGAATGCACCTCGCCTTCATCGTGTCTACGTCCCATTAGCTTTGACAAATCAGAGCAGCGGATCTGACATGGGATGGACAGTTTCTGCGCCCAAAGTGCGCTGGTAGATCGCAATGCGCGACAACGATATCATATCTCGTACGTCAGGCAAAAGAGGCCCAAATAGAAAAGGAAGGAAACAATCAAGGGGACAACAACGAAGGTGGACAAGGAAAGAATACAAGTAGCACCACGGACAGCAAAGCAGCAGCGTGAGAAAAGGCATAAGGAACAAAATCCCTTGCTGAAGCAGCCTCCGACCTGCATGACGGCCAGTTCTCCGCTCACGACTGTGAGCTTGATGTCCGGATCCGTGGAGCCTGTGGACGCGTCGTACTCCCCCAGGGCAACCATGGCCACCAGCTTCTCGATGTAATTCGCAAAGTAGTTGAACTGCCCGGAAGGCGGACTGGCGATGTGGTTGGCCAGCTTCTCTCTCAGCGGGTCAGCGGCTGCTCCCGCACGGGTCATCGCAAGAAGGGCGAGACCGTTGCCCGTCAGACCTGCGCACGGCCGCAAAACAAAGCTTCGTAATTCTGGCAACATTTGTTCCCGTTTTGATTCACTTTACTTCATTTCAATTCATTTAAATACATTTCAATTCAGATTCTCGTGTGTCCTTGTGCACTGGGCTTCCTAGAATGACAGTTTTTTTACACAATCTCCTTGACCACACGTCAGTTTGCGCCCGAAGGACTGAATACTGGTGGAGCGCGTGAGAGCAACCTGTATCCGGCCGGTGCCTTGCAAATACGGACGCATATCCCCACACGTTACCACATCGCAACATTTGATGCTTAGGTGAGATGGGCGCCGCCAAGAGCACACACAGTTTCAAGGGAACTGCAGTCGACATTTCACCTGGAACTCTTGTTCGAAAGCGAATCTATCCATGCAGAAAACAGCATGGAGCAGGCATTGAAACGCAGAACAACACAATCTTGCGTAAAAATATCAATTCCATGCAAAGGCAGCATGACATGAAACCACGAACAATCGATTCCGAAAAACACCCTGCTTGGTTTTTCACGCCCATCACCGTCTAGCAAGTACACGGGCTATGTCATACCTTGTATGACAAAGATAATTTATGGATTCTGGTAATGATATGACGCTGACGAAGGCAGGCAAGATCGAGGGATGGCGATCCCTGAAAGGGATTTGTACGCTCCAGTCCGCGGCAACGGTTTAATGCCGAGGCAAAACGACAACAGGCGTTCTGTCCTTCATATTCAGTGTGTTTGTCAGCTTCCTCAATGCAGTTCCTAGTGCTTCATCGTCTTTTCATGCATTCAGTTATTAAAAGTACTCAATCAGTTCCAGCTGCAAGAACGCAAGGCCCGCTTACTCGTTGGCGTGGCGCAGCCTTCGCAGGCCGCAATGTAGGCGGTGCGACCGCCCACGCGGAGGTTGCTGGTCCAGACCTCAACCGCCTTGTCCACCAGGTCCCTGCCCTCGTCGCCATCCGCCCGCAGCAGCACCAGGGCCACGTGGGCCATGGCCTCCATTCTCAAGCTGTCGAATTCTTCCTGCAGCCGGTCCATGGAGAGGTCCTCCGCCACCTGCTCGTCCGTGCCCTCAGGCGGGCTCCAGTCGCCTCCCAGAGCCAGCCTGGGTGACGATAGGCGATAAAAATAGGCGGAGTCAGGTGAGGTTCTGATTCTCTCGGAAAATGATTGTGGGCAGGGAAAGAGGAACGGAAATTTCGCTGCAGCGCTTGCGTGTGCGCGCAGGCGGCACTGGGCAAACGCTTGACAGCTAGCTCGTTCCACGATCCTGTGCAGAATTTGCGACAAATGGTGCAAGGAATTGCGGAACGCTCGTTGTGCGTCGCGCTACAGCAAAGCATGGTGCATTGGGCAGGCCGAATTTCTATGTATGTGCCGCACAGTAAATCCATGGGGCTGGGATAAAAATTAAAGTTCGGAGGCGCGTCGCTCTGGACATTGGAAAGGCAAGGAGCATCGTTGGTCCTTGCCGCGACGAACGCCAAAACATTTCACACAGTTTTTGTGTGCTCGTTGAATGCTCTGCTGGTGTAAATCCGTGCAGATAATTTAAACCGCATCAAAGGGTGACAAAATCGCGTGTGCTTAATCGCGTTCTTGCCTCGCAGTCACCAGCGCAGCTCACCTGGCCAGTGCCACAGTTGACAGACTGATGGGGTTATCCCTTTCCCTGGCTTCTGCAGCGTCCTCCACCAGCTGGGTCTCCAGAGCTGGGCGCCAGTGATCATTCACGAGCTGCTTCAAAGCACTGGATCCCCCCACAAACGTCTGTGGTAGTGAAGACCGCAGAAATGCAGAAATGAGCAACTTGGCGGGTGAAAAGTGTAGAACATACAGTCTTGGTTAAAAATTTAAGAACAGCATTGCGGCTTTACAGGAAGGCTGGTAAAAATGGCATCAAAGTAACGCATATTTTGGAATTCGCGATTCTCTCCATTTTCCAACTCAGATTGATCTATTATTGAGGATCTGTGCAACAGCTCGACACGACTTATAAATAGGAATATTCTGCACATCAGTCAGCGGATGCAGCCGTCTATCCAGTTCTAAACGCGCAGCCGCCGCCAGCCCTTCTGCCCCAGATGAAATGCTGCCGCATGTGCTTCACGCTGTCCAGCACAGTAACATCGCATGTACAATTCCTTCACCCCAATTGACGGCATCACAAGCCGCACTTTGCACCAACAACGGAGCATGCAAATGCAGATACGTCCCAAAAATTTCGCGTGGAAATCTTTTCATGCAGTGACAAAGTGCTAAACGTGCAGAAAATGTTCCACCGCGAACTTCTTTCGGTATACAGTGTTCGCCGCGGTCGCAGGTGCCACGCACCTCCCTGCCCGTTTCCTCCAGCAGCCCCGCCAGCTCCTCCACGAGCCACACTCCGTAGGCGTTCAGGTGCACGCTCGCCGACCGGGGCTCCGCTGCCGCGGCGCGCAGCGGCGGGCATGCCACCCACCACCTCAGGCCGAACTGGAAGTGCGTCAAGTTGTCCAGCGCGAGGTTCTGCAGGGCTAGCGAGAAGTTGGCCTCCGAGGTGGCCAGGAGCTCGTTCGTTGCGGCGTCCAGCTGCTCATTGTCGTCCGAGGAGTAGAGGCCGTACGTCTGCAGGGCCGCTGGGACGAAGGAGTGTACGAGCTCGAAGGAGCCGTCGTTGGGGCAGGTGTGGCTGCGAGGCGGGGAGGGCAGGCGATTCAAAAACTTTTTTGGCAATTGATCACTTTAGAGCGTGCCGGTACATTTTGGTGCGCGGAATTTCGAGCATTGGTTGAGTTTGAAAGGGGGCCGATGCGGGAAATTGAGCGAATGGCATGCGCCCCAAAACGTTGTGGGAAACAAATGCCTTGGGTTGTGGGGATGAGCGCAGAGACGTCCCAACCAACGTTGCTTCAATGTGCCAGGATCGTAGTTCCGTGCGCAGCCCGATTGCGGAGCTCACAAAGGGTGGGGAATTAAACAGTTTGTCCCGTATTGCGTGCAGCGCTGCGTGAAGCAATTCATGTAAAAACCATTCGGCTCCACAGGTTATAAGAAAGAACAATGCAGCGCAGAGGTACGCTCGACCCTTCACTTCTATCAAGGACCCCGCAAGTGGCTCTGGAAAAATTGGTCACGGTCAAATGGGGAAAATTCTCTTAACCCTGCTTGAAGAGGGTAAGCAAAATTCTGAACTGTGGCCGTGGAGAATAGAAAGTTCTACAGTATTCCAATCTGGCGAGCAGCCACATGTGGTTGTTGCTCGAGTGCTGAAAGACCACGGAAATGTACATTTGAGTGCATACTAACACGTCAGCTTATTGTGTTCGCAATTCTAGTTCCCTCACACTGCCTCAACAAAATTCGCGCACATGTTCCAGTACCCGCCACCCAGTCTCTTCCAGCCAACAACAAGTGTGCCAACAACAACAAGAAGTGTGCGTTGCTCGTACAGGACGGCTTACATATATAATAATATATAATCCTATGATTACATTTCCGTGTAATATATTGGAATTCAATATATATATATATACACAAAAAAAAACAAACAAACAGAATGGCCAGTGTGTGGACCCTTAAAAACCAAACCACAGCAAAAAGGGCCAAAAACACAAGTTCGAAACATGGTTATGAAGAATGTCTGCCAAACCGCGCTTGCATCAGTCCCGCTGTCTACACTCGCTTATTCCTTTCCCATAATAGGCCCAGGACTTGGGCGACATGGGCGACTCTGGGGCGCACTTGGCATTGGCCTCCATGATCTGCCGCGCGTTGGCGAGCACCGCCGGCAGCCGCCCCACGCCCGCCAGCAGTTCGAGACCGCCCGTGCCGGGCAGCGCCGCGGGGAGGTCCAGGCCCTCAGTCGCCTGGGCAGCCTCGCCTTCCGACGCCTGGATGGCGAAAGACGTCGCCACCGTGACGGCGTCCTGGAGCCCGAGAACGGGCACCGTCAGGCGAAGGGCGTCGCTGGCGCCCTTGCCGTCATCTGCAAACAGCGAAACACGAAGCTTAGTGTTTAAATTTGAATGTGGGGTACCCAACATGAATATGAAATGTGAAGTATGGCATGAAGCTGGGATGTGAAAATGCTTGAAGTGGGATACGTGGAATACGAAAATGTTAGCTGCATCCGTGCGGGTCACGAACTGCATTGAAGCTTCAGATTTAGCGGCCAAGTACGCGCCGCTGAAGGGCTTTTGGAATTGCCCACAGGTTTCGCGACACTGTCCAAAGCAGTGACTGTACCATATTCCCAACGTGGCCAAATGTTGGGAAGCGCTGACCGAACACTCTCCGTCAACCGCCGGGGAACGAACTTGCGGAATTATACTGATTTGTTCCCTCACAGTACACACTATGTCTGTCGATTTAACTCACAAGGTTCCGTCCTTCGCGCAAAGTCAATACCATGCCCCAAACCGACCAATTTGCCCGCCATCGCCGCTGGCTTGGCGAATGGGGATGCCCTTCTCATGTAACGACAAGCACGCAATCGACGGAATTGCACGCCGGCCAGTGCAATCAAGCGCACCGAGCGCCTCACCTGCGGTGATGTTGAACGCCCCTTCCCCTAGCGCCAGGGCCTCGAGTTTGAACCGCACCTCCACCTGGCCGTCGCCGTCCACGACGACGGACTTCTGGGTTTCTCCCACTGCGGCCAGGACGGCCTCCTCGCCGCCTTCGACCGTCAGACTCACGCTGACGGGCTCTTCGGCGGCGGTGCCGCCAGAGAGGGTGATGATGACGCCGGCGTCGAAGACGTCACCCACGCGGACGATGCGCGGCGCGGAGGGGGTCATGGACAGCGCTCTGCGCACGATGATCTCCGACTCCGCGCTCCCGAAGCGGGCCTTGTCTGGGAATGCGCAAACCGCCAACGGATCAACAGTCGATGCCTCTTAAATGGGCAAGGTGCGTTAATTCAGAGTGACAAAACACGATGTGCGAATTTGGATACCGTGTTTTGTTGTTGTGTTATGAGATGCGTTCATTTAGAGTTAGCGCGTTTTGGACATTATGTTGTGCGCATGTTCTGTTGCGTTTTGGGCGATGTTGTTAAGTTCACGGAACAACCATGCAGCCAGTCGATCCGTCAGCTAACTAACGAGTCGGCAATTCAATGCGCCCAGCCATTTAAACAGAATATCAAGAAAATGTGGTATGAACAAGTACGATAATGTACTAGATTTTGGCCTGCTATCCGAAAAATAGTGTTTAAAGAGGCCCCCAGCCGATCGACAAGTCAATCGCAAGGCCAATGCATCAGTGAATCAAGAAGAAAGCCCGCCCACCCACACTTCGGCCGCCACGTCCAGAAACATGAAACCAACGACACACAAGTCATGAGGTCAGATCAGCGATCAGATCAAAGCCCGTATCCACCTGTGCCGGCGTACGCCCTGACGACGAAGGTGCCCAGGTTGTCGGGGGCGGTGAAGTCCACGGTGGAGGATCCCCCCTTTGCGGAGCCGACCGTGACGAAGAGGGGAGTGGACGCGAAGTCCCCCTGGTTGCGAACCGTCGCGCCCGTCTCCGCGGTTTCCTCCGTGGGCGGATCAAAGGCTTCGTCGGCCAATGGCGATTCTTCTGGTTCTTCGACGGGGCTGAACACCACTGCCGACGATGCCGCGAATGTGTCGGCGTCGTCAGATGCCCCAGCGCTGGAACTAGCACTAGCGCTAGCGCCGCCCCCCTGGGATTTGCCGATGAGGGCGACCGCTCCCCGGTCGTCGCTCGGGAATGGCTTGTATCCAGGCAAGTGGAGCTGAAACAGGGGGGGCAGGACATCAGTCGGGATTGGAACCACCCAACTGAATACCTGCCATCGTTCAGTGCGCGTCGCTGGGAGGGCGCCCTCTCGGACGGCAGCTGCAGCGGTAGAGGTCGTTTGCAGAATGCGTTCGTCCAAGCATGACTATTTCAGTTGAATTTTGCGCATGCATCAAGTTCAATTGGTGGTAATCATGGTACAAAACCACGGGCCCGGGAAACTTGGGAAAGCGATGTACAGGCATTCAACCCATTTTGCTCGTATCCGTGGCGAACGATATGCAAAAGACATTGACACACTGCAGAAAATGGGCAGAAAGCGGCTGAAGCCGCTGACTTTAAGGTCGCAGTGCTATCACGGCAGGGAAGGAGAGGACAAGCCTTACACAATAATGCACTTTACACTCATTTACCACTTTACACCGCTTTTTTGCTCCTGCAGAATGTCCTTCTCAAACACCATTCTAGTTCTTTGACATATCTGTGTCATGTACGCAACCATTGTAACTACAATTGGTTGCACGTACGCATGCAACATCGCGCGATTGAAACCACATATTTGTCTCTATCAACGTGATAGTGACGGTATCCTCCATATAAGTCAGCGTTCGCAGTACCCCATTGCTGTAACTGCGATGCGCTCCACAGGCTCCAGCGCCGCACCCCTACCTCGCTTTCGATCAGCGCCCAAGGGTCTGCCTCCTGCTCCTTCACAAACCTTTCGATGACGGACGCTATTGCACCGGGGGCGTGCAGATATGCTGAAGACGACGTCACCTGAGGGCGCGCCACAGAGTTAACGAAATGGGTCACTACTAGCCAGCCCTCCTCGTTCAGAAGAGCACCCTAGAGGGTCCTCACAAGCGCAAGCAATTGGCCATTTCGCCCAATTTCATTGCCTGTTTAAGTGGCGTTAGATTATTCAAAATTGGCAAACATCGAAGCAATAATGAGCGCAACGAATCGACATACGCTTTGCAGAGCCAGCCAGTCTCCGAGAGCAGCAGGAATGGCGCACAACACAAGGCGGACCGCGAGCCGAAGACGCAAATCACATCGCCGTCCACATTCCCAAAGCATTCCTGTGGCGGAAATCCAACACAGATTTCAGACTGGACACGAGACAATTTCGTGGAGGCGCCCCTCTGGTCCCCCATCATGGAAGACGCGACATCAGCGTTGTGCGAATTGAGACCAAGTCTCTGAAAGATGCACAACAGCAAGGCTGCGTTCGCAACGCCTTCCTTGACTACGCAGCTCAAACGTTGTGCACCATACTCGAGCTTCCAATCCATGGAACAGGCTCACGAAAACGTTCCAAAATGGACGTTTCAGGTTAAGATACCTCGAAGCGCAGCGCCAGATCGAATGCAAAGTCCAGAGCCATGTCCTTGAGCTCGTAAGGCACGAGCTCCAGGACAGCCTTGTCGACCACCGCCACCGTATATTGGACTTCTTCGTCGTCAGCCAGGTCGGCGCAGGCCGCGTCCCCGCCACCGCCCTCCTCGCAAGGGGGCACGGAGAGGGCGATAGGTGTGACGCCCTGGGGCTCCATGACGGGTGGGCCGCCGTCCGGCGCCTCCAGGTCGGGAAACTCCAACTGGATGGACACGCTGCGGTCCTGTGAGAAGGCAGGAGAGATCGGTTCGAAATTCTGAGAAAGAACGGGCGGCCCTGGAGCTGGCCATCATGCATTCTGATGGGGTATGTATTTTGTGGGTGTGGCAAGGAAGGTGACATGCACATTGTGGTCGCAACACCATGTGTAGCATATCATGTTCTTCCTCCTCTTTGGGAAAGACCGCGTTTTGAGGGAAAAAACGAGTGAGTACTATGACGGAGGCAAGTGCTGTGGAGTGCTCGGCCTTGAGCCGCTGTGCACACGAGAGTGCCAAAGGAGAAGCGTGCTGATTCCGGATGGCCGGGGAGGGGAGCTGAAACATTGGCGCAAACGCATGAAAGTGGAATGCAGGCATGAAAGACCAAATGCAATCGACGCACACAGATCTACACCTGTTCCAAGACTGTGCGTGTTCCGCACATTTGTCCATAAAAGTGGAGAAGACGAGGGTAGCACATTGGTGAAGCAACGAGCTGTTGTGCTGTGACAGCAACGTGCCAAGGGGCGTCATGCTGAAGCTTTGCGATTCACATGTCAAGGCACGCAAAATGGCTCGCCTCGTTCTTTTCAGGAAAGTGGCGGCAGAGTTATCACGGCATGCTGCAACATGCATGCATTCGTTTGATTCACTATTGATTCGAGCCGCACCCTATTTCGAAATCCTTCGACTCGTGAATAACCAAGCCCAAGTTGCAGACTCGCCATTACGCAAGCTACTCGAATGCAAGGTGAATCTTCATCCCGTACTGCCCAATCGCGCCACAGTCGTTTTTCCACACACGCTGGTTCGTGCACACATCATGTCGGAAACGCGCTCAGCGACATTCACACGATACTTGCTGTCGCCCAAATCCAGGCGCCAGCGCGTTATCTTGTCTTGCAAACACAGCTGGAAGCCAAAAACCTCACCACAACTAAGTTAGGAATTCTATCCTAACATAGCTGCAAGGAGATTTTTAAAACTATATGAGATTATCTGACTCAATAAAGTGACCCAGAACTTCCATGCGCCTCTCCCGCACAGCGGGGCCCACCTGGCGAACGTCGATGTCCTCCCGGAGGGTCATGGTCTGCGGCATGGCGGGGTCGAAGAAGGGCGTCGTCGGGACGCCAAGGGCGTTGGCCTCCCCTTCCGCCTGCCTGGGGACGTTGACGTGAACGAGGAGGGAGCAGCCGGCGGCGCAGGTGTCCTCGATCGTGATGTTGAAGTTGGCGAGCTGGTCGTCGGGCAGCTCGACGACCTGTGGTGCAGAGAGGAGGAACACGTGCTCTGGGGAATCGTGATCGCTATGTCGATCCAGCTCTCGGAACCTACTTTGAGTCGGTAAAAGGCTCCATGACTTTCCAACACGTGCCGTTTACATGTGAGTTCAGAGAAGCGTTCTCCACAGCCACACCAACATGAGTCCGCAGGCGCTCACGAAGCACGATTCAGTGGGGGAAGTGCACCAGCATGGGGGCATTGGCTTTGGAACCTAGGCAACATAATATGATGAATGTGTCCTCATTTCATGCCATTGCATGCCCACAAGGCCACTAGCTGGAATACACTAGCTGGAATATGCTAGTCTTGGACGGTGCCACGTGATTTTCTTTTGAAATAGCATTATGCAATGGCCACCCCACAGAAATGGAGAACGCACCAGCAAATCGATGAATCACAAAAGCAAATGACGCACTGAGGACAGGGCAAACCTGTTCTACGCATCGAAGGAAAACAAGCTGCGGAAGCCGACCCTCAGGTCTGGGTAGCGAGGCTCACCTTCCTCTGCACGCCCAGGCCGCTGCCCCACAGCACGAGAGCACGAGCATTCTTGTAAATGTTCTCCATCTCGTACTCCACGACGTCTCCCACTTCGACATCCCCTTTGCCCACGCGCTTCAATTTCGCTTGAATGAAGTCATCCCACGGGCTGGCGCAAAAGAAAACAAATGGCAATGATGCGCAACAGCAAAATTTTTATCGTTAGCACAGTGAAGGCGACGTTTTCTCCTTGCTCTGGGGCATAATGTATGGTCACTTTCTTTGTTACGGTGGACGGGATAGTTTCATGCAGGGCGAGCTTTGACTGTTTGATGCTATTTGCGTCTATCATGCGTCCATTTTGAGTGTTACTTGCGTCTGTTGCAGTCTCTTATGTTGCTGTTTGCGTCAGCGTCTGTATGGGGCAAGGGATGGGATTTAACACGCGACATTGACGAGCTGCAATCCACAGAATTCTCTGCTGGCTTCGATTGCGCCTTCTTGTTTGGATGAAAGGCCACGTTGCAATTCTGAGGGCAGTGGATGCTGACTTCCTTCGATCAGGTTGTTGCCACCAAAGCTGAGGTTTCATCTCAACATCCAGGCAGCTCCGCAGGCAATGAGAAGGCAGCTGCCTTTCCATTGTTCGTGACTTGAACCTGCACAATCTGAAGCATACGCAGATAGCCGACGTGCGTGACACAGCACTGCACTTGCCAAAAAACATTGCATTATTGCACGGAGAATCTGGAAATTTGACCAAACGCCTCCTCACCTCTCCTCCCAATCGGTCTGGTTCTTTCCCAGGAAGGTTCTGAAGCATGCGCTGTTGCCGTCCTCATCCGAAACGCACGACTCCAGAGCGAATCTGCCAACGCTCTCCAGCACGAAGCGGCATTCCCCGCCTGAGCCTGGGACGGCGTTCTTAAGTTAGGACCTATTTTCTACTGCTTCCAATTTGACAATCTGTCTCAAGAATACAGCAGACGAGCCACAGCAACAGCCACACAATATTCTGATTGCATCTGGTCCACCTCTTGGACACCAATCAGGGTATCCAGGAGATGGTCTACATAAGCCTTATGTAGACCATGAATTGCCTTAGGCAACCATTCATACATTCGCAAAACTTGCTTTGGCGTTACTGCTTTCCATGGTGCCCAACAGTTTCTGTCTGTGTGAAGCCTTGGTGATTTCTACCACGAGGGGGTAGTGTACGTCAGATTGAACAGTGACAAGATATGTAGGAGCGACTGTGAAAACAACGAAATAGCATTAGGACAGGGACGGAATCATGCAATAGACGGCGACTTCGAAGTGAGATCCCAAGGATGCCGCAAGAATGCAATGGCGTTTGAGCGTGTCGGCTACTAATGCAAGCGACGCAGCTCCCCCATGTTTGAGCTATGAATGAATGTACGCCTCCTGGAAGCTACGCTCACTTCTGCACAACGAGGTTGTTAATTCGGAAATACGAAAAGCAGAAAATAGAATCAACTTTGCTCCGAGTAATACGAATAGCTGGTCCTTCGCTCTCAGCACGATGAAAGGTGAAATGTACAAAAAAGGACGGAAGCTGAAAGAGAAAGAACACCTTCAAGACTCATACCACGGCTTCTACATGAATGCAAAGATATCAGAAGTCGCGCACGACCAATGGCGATCAAAGGGCACAGCATGCTTCTAATGCCCGCAAAGGGTTTGCCGACCACAAATGCCGGACCTTCGCCAGCGCTGCAGTCCTTCACGACCTCTCCCTTGAGCGGCTCCTTGCCCACAGCATCCAGCGTGTCGCGCCCCGTCAGGCCGGCTTGCTCCTCGACGTCCACGGCGATATTCACAAGGTTGACGGGAATGGGGCCATCCACGGCGGCTCCCGCCAGGGTCTTGGCCGTGGCCGAGACACCAAAGGTCACTCCTGGGACGTTGGTGTCCACGGTCCGCACGTGCTGGACGTCCACATTGGCGCTGCGGAGCCTGGACGTCGCGGAAAGAGAAACTGCAAACGGCTGTTTTGAGCATGGGGCCAAATTTTGTCCTATCCGTTTTGTTGTGCACGGGGAAGCGTATACCGCATTGTGTCAGCAACCGTCGCCAATGCTTGCGGCCCAGAGACCCCGCAGGCGAGTTAAGTTTCTGTCGCGTTGACGCACCACGTCAGGCGAGCGCAGTTGTGGCACGATTTGGCTTCAGGCGGGTTTTAGATCGTGAAGCGCAAGATCAGCTGCACGGCCAGCAACAGCATTCTGGCAAAGGTTCTCGTTACATGAATTAGCACGTGGGCATCAAAGCGACGTCCATGATGACGTATTCACATGCAAGACGCACCCACCCACACACACACAACAGCAATCCTACCCCACCCTCCAACCCCCTCTTCCTTCCCCTTTTGCCAAATGTCATGAATTCCATGGATTTGGTGTCCTCACAATCCATAGTGCATTGTAGACAATCGTTTCTTAGTCATACTGACACGATTGAAGCAACGTCGGGCAATGCTCGAAATGCCATTTCCTCCGGCCAAAATGGCGCCCAAAACACGGTTACGGCTTCATGGTTGGAACACGTACAAACACGGCATACCCTTTAGTACGTGTCACTGCAATTACGTGTATGGTAATGTATTCCTACACCGATGAATAAGGACACATTGTGCCACAATACCATGTATTTTGTTGTACTAAAGAGCGATTTCAGAAATGTCAAAATGGCAATGTTGGAAATAACATTAGAACATTGCAAAGCGATGGCTAATTCGGCAAAATACTGTGCGAATTCGCTGTGCCTGCCCGTTTCATCGAGGGGCGAGAATCATCACACACTTGATGGACACCGACTCTTCGATGAGCTCCCGCGTGGGGCCCACCCACTGGACGTCGACCACCAGCGCGGAGGGCAGAGTAGGCTCCTCGTTCAGGTCGCCCAGGGCTATTTCCGCCGTGGCCCTCCCGGAGTTGTCCGTCGTGATCTGGGCTTCGCCCGACAGATCCTCATCACCAGCATGTCCTGCAGCAACCAGTTCCCAATGTTGGAATGTATAGCAAGGCAAAATGCGATGACGTTGATAAACAGCAGTGCGAAAGCATGGCAACGCCAAACGGCGGAGATTGTGTGATGTGGTGCTGCTTAGGCGCTCTTCACAAAATTTACACAGTTTTTTCGTGACGTTTGCAACATATGAGTTAAACCCTAACAGGTGCTTACAACACGAACAAAGCTTGCGATATTGCAGTTTCCGCCTGTCCTTGCACCAATGAACTCCACCCTCACCACTTGCTTGCATTTCCATGATCTCCGTGGAGATGCCGTGCAGCTCACAACGGATGTGAGATCTGCTTTCCTATCTTTTCTTTCTGGTGCTTTCTCTGGACTTTCTTTCTGGCCAAGGACAAGCCCAGAAAGCATGGCGAAGAACGTTCCGATGGAAACGGATCACTACCATCTTGCATGCACAAGAACAGCGTCCCGCTGCGTTTTGATAATTTTGGCTGCACGGATGCAGGCGTTTGCCACTGCACGCGAGCCTCTGCATACGACAGGCTGCACATCGCGCACGACTTGGCGTCTGTGCAATGGCTTCATGTCAGAGGAATTCAAGTCAATTCGCGATTATTTCCAAATGCATTTCAATGTAGCCCAATTCAACCCAGCATTCTGGCAACGCAGACCACGGCATGTTTGCCCAGGGTCGCGGTTTGTCACCTTCCACTACCCAATTCAGTTCCATAGTGGCTTCTCCGACAGCGGATCCTATTAAGCTCTCGGCGAACACTTCGATGGTGACTGTGTCCGTTGGCAGCGCCTGACCGCACAGCATTGGCACGTCAATCAACTTCAAAACAAACACTCGTTGTCATATCAATGGGCTAATCATTTATCGTGATTCATTGTCTCAGTTGCTTTGGGGGGGCAAAGTTCTGTCTTCTATTGTACTTGGTGTATACAGCACAGAAGTAGCAGGGAACTACAATCTCTTAACAAATCAACTGACATCCCGTCTACACGAAACGCGCCCTGGCAACTAGTCACTGCCCATGTGGTACTGCGCAGGACAGCAAGCCTCGCATTGGGAAAGGTTACTGATTTCGAGGAAATGCCGTCAACATTGACAAACATCAGCTGCAGTTAATACCACAAAATGAATGTGATTAAATGGCATCAGTTTGCGGCAGGGCCGACGACGAACGAGTGGATTGGCTGCTGGCAGTGGACCGCGAGCCTCCGCCCAGATGTCTGCACGGCAATTTAAATTGCGTCCCACGTTCGCACGGCGACATTGCCAAATCAAGCTCGCTGTCTCCCACATGCAAAACTTCCAGTGGGCCGAATAGCACCGCCGCAAGAGGCTGCCAAGGCGCACACCGCCAGCTCACCCAGCGCCCGAGAAAGCAAAAAAGGAAACGAAAACAAAGTACATAAAAGGTGAAAAAGCAAGTGGCAGACATCACCGAAACTTTCCACTCGAGGCGTGCGCGCAAGATTTAGGACTTGGCAAGATTTAGCTGCGCGCAGAACTTGCCCTAAACGACTCTGCGCCAACCGCGAGCCTCACCCAATCGGGTCCCTTGACGTCCAGCACAGCGGTGGGTGGCCGGGGGTCGCCGACCGCGAACCCTTCGAGGAGGTACTCGCGAAGCCTGTTCCCCTCGCAGTCCTCCACCAAAAAGATGTCGTACTCCCTGGGGACCGCGTCTTCAGAGAGTTCGATTTCCGCCTGGAAGCTCCCAAACTTGTCGTCGAACTGGACGGGGAACTCGCCGAGGTCGCCAGCGTCCAGGCAGAAGCCGTTCTCGGGTGTGAAGGGCAACAGGTCGGCGTTCTCCCGCCGCCAAATGTGTCCTGGCGACAAACATCACCAGCGCTATTTTGGGAAAAGGCGTTGCAAGACGTAGCACTTAGTGTATTTGACATTGGGATTCTTTCCTACAAGCGCATTGTGTCACATTGCACCACACAAAAGGCGTCGCGGCCTTTGCGTAATAAAGGCACCGATTGTGCGCTGATGCCATGATGGATTTGCACTGCAGCAAAGAGTCATGTATGCGAAGCATGGCTCCTTTCAACGACAAGACGTTTTCAACGTGTCACTGTCTGCGTGGTAGATACACCAAGAGACATCTTACAGACTTTCGTTGTGGAAATTGCAGTATGCGATAAATGTGGTGTCCGCCGCCATCGCACCATGATGCCTGGGGTGGGTGTCCATTGCAGGGCCTTGCACTTGCTTTTCTTCGCTATCCCTTTACCCCGTTTTGTTGCTTTGCTCACAAGTGGCGACCAGGTGAGTGAGGCATACGGCCGCACTGGCGAACGGTGATCCCCGACACACTGATAATGTAGTTTATGTTTTCCAATTCGTTCCCTTAGCGAATTGTATCAGATTGCTGAGAATCATGCAAACCGTAGGGTCGTCTGCACGTAAACGAAATAAGTCGCATCATCTCGATCGCATTTTCGGTACCGTTCTGCGCAAGTAGCATTTGGTCAAATAATAGTATGGACAGTGAATAGAGACAACAATAGTCAGATACGGTTCAACGTGCATTCAAACATGGACCATAGGCTTCCGACCCTTCTTCAAACGTGGCGCACCAAGCACGCGCCCTTCTCGGCAGCTCAGCGATGCTTATCCAATGAATGCCCTTACGCCAGGGGGCCCAGGAGGGCCGCAATTCCCGCCAATTCATTATCGCAAAAGGTGGCAACAATGTAAAAGTACAAGCACTTTGTTATAATGCTGTATTTGCACTTGTAGTCTTTATCTAATTCCAAAATATTACGTCGCATTTCAACCTGCACGTTGAAACGCGATGTAACATTTCGGAATTAAAAAGTACAAGCACAGTAGCAGAATCAGGTACTGAGCGCCGCCTGCTCGCCGCTCCACGCACCTTTCACGTGCACCGTCTCCCCTGGCCGGGCCAGCTTGCGGTCCAGCACGGAAGACACCGCCGCGCCCTCGACCTTCGACAGAGTCTCGAGGATCTCGACCCCCGGCACGATGGTTAGCCTGCCGGCGTGCTCGATGGCCGCGAACCTGCCCGGCAGGAACCCGATGATCAGCTCCTCGTTGCGGTTCACCAGGGTGGCCGTTCCGTCCTCCGCCGTCATCGCCGTGTCCATTATCTCCAGGGTCGCCTGCAAGCGGCACGTCTCGCTGAGGGAATTCGTTGCAATTTGGAAGAAGTCGCTGATCAACGCCATGACGTGCGGCAGGGGGCAGTTACGCTCAGCGCATCCATGTGCAATGCCTAGATGCGTGTACCGTGCAGATCTACATGGTGCGATGCATTTGAGCAGTTTTGGCCAACAAGGCCATTTCAGCTGTATACAGAGTGGACGCTCCTCAACAGATTCAACCACAGTAACCAGGAGCTGATATAACAATGGCGACAATACAACACGAGTGAAGATAATTGTTATGCTGCGCTGCTTGGCGAAAGTGAGACGGTTTATGGCCTCGCAAGCCGCAACGGCCCAAATTCATCGCACTGTGCAGATGTAGGTTGAACATGGATGCGCTGAATGCAACTGCCCCCGAACGCGCATAGCTTTAAGCAGCTTCAATAAACTTAAATTGAAATGAAGAAAGAGTGTTTAATTTGAATTGAATCTTGAGAAGCGAATTAGAAGGCACCAACCCCGTTGGGCATTTCAGCAACCAAAATGAATACCGACCGAAAATTCGCTCCACACTAGACGTCTGCTCCAAACACCGCTCAGCCATCGCTGCAACACCGATTCGGCGACTTTCCTTCGCAGGTCTACATGTCCGTGATCGTACAAATGAGTTCACCTAAAGTTCCGATACCTGCATTCTATCACGGATGATAACCCAGCATCGAAAGCGACAAGAGCTACCAAAATTTAACCACCCCTTAAAAACAATTTTTAATGTAAACAGTCAGTCATTATCAACCGTCAGCACAATTCGATCAACGTTTGGAAAATTGGGGCTGCATCTAAATTCGAGCACCTTTCCCAGATTCCAGCTCCTCAGGACTGCGCAGACCACGCATACATGCGAAAGGAACGATCACATCGGGCGCATGAGAGCCATGAGAATGTTAGATATCTTCATTTTCGGACGTGAAGGTCATGTACGCAGTTTATCGCGTTTTAAATGTTCCGGGTCTTAGGTTTTGAGGGGCCTTGTGACAGCCACGGCCTGCATATCCACAAATGATAGGTATGGGACAAATCTCGAGAGCAATGCGTCCGTGCTTCAACATTGTTTCAGGTAAAGTGGCACAAGGCTTAGTATTTATAGTACTATGCAGTACTTTCCAGTAATGTGCTATACAATTTTTTGTGAATATGGGTTACTCACATCGTTCCGCTGCCAAATTGTGATGTTGGCGCCCTGCACCGGCTGCCCCGTAGCCATGTCGTGCACCCAGGCCAGCAAATGCTCGCCAGCGGCCTCGGGGTCCCCGGGGGCCAAGAACGACGCCATCACCTCCGTTTCCATCGTCAGCCTGCGCAGCGCCAAATGGATGACACTTTCATAAACGGGCATCTATTTAATTGATTGGTTTTCCATTTCTATTATTCCTTTCATTAATATTCATCATTCCGTTCATTTCACAGCGGGCGCAAAATATGCAGCTGGGCGGTACTGAGCAGGACTGTACTGTACTGTACTATACTGCGCTGCACTGCACTGCAATATACTGTAAATTACTGCACTGCATTTCACGGTACTGTACTGTGCTGCACTACAATTCACTGTACTGTACTGTACCGTGAGATATTTGCACAGGGGGGCGTTCACCGCCTCGTTTTGCCTAACGGATGAATATAACCAACAAGGAGCCAGTCATTGATTTGCCACACCCATTCTGGGAAATGCAGAAATGATTTTGGCTTCATTAGCCACAATGTTTGCACACCGCTCCACGGATGATCATTCGTTGTTACGCAAATGTGACGTGACACTTCTGTGGAGAATTCGTTCTCTCAATTTTGTAGAGTACCGCAAAGCGTCTCCTTCCAAAAGGCAACGGCAGTAAGCCAACTTCCACCAATAGGGAAACGACGGGCAGAGTATGAGCTCCTGCATCCTCTAATTGTCTGTAATTTGATACAAAGCCAATGATATATTTTCCCGCACCCTTCCAGAAATCTACATTATACTCCAAGTACACATGCACAGCAATCACCGCGCGCTTCCACCGCCGCTGAAAGTAACAATGCAGATTCACATGCAACGCCTGACAGTCAAGCGACGGCAATTCCCACGGTGAATCCATTGGGCCGTGCCAGTGAAGTCTTGCTATCTAGGCACACTCGCAAGAACAGCCAGATCGCCATCGTGCGGCATCCTTTCCCGGCAATCTGGGAGTGTCACTAGGGAAAAGAGGGCCGAATAACACGTGTTCAAATGTGTACAAAGTTTACGGGTTTGTGTCGTTTTTGTGTTCTCAGGGTGCAGAACTTTGATGAAATGTGTTTCATGTGTGTTCGCAAAAGTGTTACTTGGTCCTTTATTTGTTAGCATATTACAGAGAGTCCAATACGTTGCTTTGTATTGCTTACCAGTCGGCATCAAAACAGAACTGGCTGTAGAAGATTCCCGCGGGATCCAGGAGGTCCGTTGCGTCCACCTTTGCGACAATGGCGCTGCCGTTCTGCGACCCGTCCAGGCGAATTCCTGCTAAAGCGCAACTCAGTTCAATGTATGACGTCAATTTACAATGCAAACGTACACTACACGTGCACACGTTATGTATAGTGCTAAAGTAAATGCGTCAAGTATGGGCAACGTGGAACCAAAAGGCGAGTCATTACTGCACGATTGATACTCGTGTTTAGTTAATAAATGCTGAATCACAATTGTACGGCCAACGGCAGCTGTGTCGCCTGTGCACGTACCTTCGACTCCAAGGTCCTTGAATATTTGCGGCACGTCAAAATTTCCGGCACTAAATACGTCAAAGGCCTCGTGAGAAGCCTTCAGGGGCCAGGCCTGTGGACACATATGCACTCTTAGTCACCCACGAAAGAACATACGTTTCGTGGAGCCATTCTTGTGACTGCCGCGTCTGCCGACTGGAAAATCACACCCAAACGCATGCAGCATCAGCCTCATTTCAGCAGGTTATTGTGTCGGTGCAATGAGAGGGGGTGATTAACGTGTGCGCAGCAAATGGCAAGCACCGCAACAACATCCAGAAACACAGGGATACTGAAAAATCGGAAGCAAATTTAAACAAGCGCGATGGACGCTGTAGCACATGTTTAACATCCCAGCCGGGCAATCTGCACGGATGGCCAGAAAATATCTGCTTCTCTCTCGCAGCATCGCGAGGCCAGAACTTCATCTGTACTTCTGGGCACCCCCATTTGAGAAGGACAATGCTTAATTTAATGTAATTATTACTCGACAAGAATTCATGTCCGTGCCCCAGAGCATTCAACTACGTGCTGTTCTCATCCATGCCAGGTGCAAGAGCGGCGTTCATGGCTATAATTAAAATAAGAGGAAGTGAAGACAAAGAGAAAACGCCGTTCTCGCGATGCCAACTGCGCCGCGGACTGCGATGCCCGTTGGCAACAATTGATGCCATAACGGGCACTTTGGCACCATCTCAAGTACATTTACGCCCTAACATAGTGTCAAATAGCATCGCAGGTGGCATCGTCAGGCTGTCGTATACTGCCAGTGAATATGGCCCCTTCGCAACTCTTCAATCAAGCAGACAAAGCGACGCCACCCGGCGATTCCAGTCACTGCCGTAGCGTTACAATTTCGCAAAGTAATCGCCTTGTTGCTCCCAATCGGTAAATAGTTCCAAACTCTGCTTGCAATGGTTCCCACCTCCATAAAGGGGACAGCGCCGTCTTCACACAAGAAGTCGTCAAAGTTGTCTTTCACAGGGAGCCCCCGGGACAGCGCAGACACGGAGCGGTCCCATTCCTGGCCTGCCTCGAAGATTGCGTACCTGCAGAGCAGAAACGGCAAGCCATCAATAATCTCATCATCCATTCGGCCGTCTGTCAGTTCATCCGTCCATCCATCCAAATTAAAGAAAGAAGAAAAGGAAGCCAAAGGAAACAGTGCAGTAATAAATGCACCAAAAATCGAGCGATTGCAATTGCGTACAACAATGGATTTGAGACACCCACCCTCCCCCCCTGCAGTTCCGACAGATCGCCAGCCGATTCCTCGGCAGCTGAGCTTTGCAGATCGATGTGCGGCTCCACAAATCGCACAGGACTATATAATCACGAAATATAGTCAATATATTGTTCATGTGTATATTTGTGTAGTTTCAAATTAAAGGGTGATTACAGGGGTAATTTAAGCCGCTTCTGATGTCAATAGCATCACATTAGGTGTCACAACAAATTCAAGTAGTCCCACGCGGCTTTTCACAGTATGTCTGGACCGTAGCAAACGGGAAAGTGCGTTTTCTAGTTGAGATACCTTGCAAGTTGGCTTGCAATTCCAAATCAAAAGAAGCAATGGCGTTCTTTGAGGTCACGTTTGCACAACAAGCGGTGGCCAATTGTGCAGTGGTTCCCCTCTACAAGTCTTCCTCTAGTTGGGATCACAGCCAAAAATTGTCGTTCCCATCAATGTTCCATTCCAAGATACTTACCAGCAAGGATTTCAACGTTTACATGTAATTATGGTTTGCAGTACTCACAAATATACATACTTCCCGTTCCCATGGTTCTACTACATGCTACGCTACCTGAAAATATCCGACAAAGGCTCTGGGCCATCAGAAGCATCCACACTAGGGCGGATGAAACCCGATCGACAACACGCCAAAACAATGCAACAGTGCAACCTATGTTTGGATATTTATTATAACCCAAACAATAATCCCACATAGTGCACCTGAAGACGTGTACGATGGACAGCTGAGTGGCATCACCGATCGATTACTCACAACTTATCATCGAATCCGCCGTCTACGGGGAAGATTGGCGCGAATTCGTGGAACAGACGCTCCCCGGTCTTGGACGCGACGCTGGCCTCAAGGGACAGGCCGAAGCCGTCTTTGACGCCGTCGTTCGCGGACACCTCGATGGTGTAGTCCGTTTCAGGAACAAACGCGGCGCGGAGCAGCAGCTCCCCCTTGCTGCGCAAGCTCAACTCGAACTCCATCTGAAAAGGCAAGCAGTTAATAATCAACGAATGAATGCAAAAATAAACAATAATGGTAAGTACTTTGTTGGCTAGCGCAATAGCAATGAATAATAAATAATAAACGGAATAGATACTTCATTATTTGTCGCAATGATGGTGCGCACAAAAAGGAATTGGACAGGTCTGGCTGTTCCGCTTTGGTGTGAAGGTACACGAGGGCCACGCACACACAGCGATCGGAGCGTGGATCCTGGTTCGCTGGTTAAACCCGGCCATTTCAAAATGACATATTCCAGTGTTTTAATCGCGCTCAGCGCCCCCAAAAAGCATTGGTGATTAGCAGCAACTAGGGCGCATTGGGGGTTCAATGTTTCGATAGGAGACTCTGTCGAATCGGCAGCTCATAGAAAACGCACTGGCGGATCCTAGTGGCGCCAATTCATTCGCCATCTCAAGCGCCATTGCAATGAACTAGGACACGGAGGAGGAAGCTGTAAACCGGATCGCGAGGAAGAAAACGGCGGCATTTTCTTGGCAAAAATCGACAAATTGAAGGGTAAACGCAGCGTAGAATGTCCGCCACCAGCAGTATTAAGTCCTACTATGTCCACTGAGCACCACTAGGTATTTGCTCCATGTGCCTAAGAGGTGCACTGCTAGACAGCTGCACTGGGTGGATGACGCCTCGGCATTGCAATTTCAATGGCACCGCAAATCTTCATCACGCATAATGATTGGAAACATTGCTGACATAGCCATGATCAACAATTGAAAAAAGGCAGTTAAAGTTCTCACCGTGAGGGCAGTCCTGCAGCATGTTCCGACAGCTGCAGCCACTACCAGCTCGACCATTTCAACCTTAACTGGAAGCCTAGCGCAATGGGAATACCTTTGACGCAACTGCAGCTGGTCACACTAGCAGAATACGTTCATTATATATTTTCTTATTCTTATTCTTATTTTTATTCTTGTATATTTTTCCCGCAAACTGCATAGCTTGCGCCCTTCGTGTAAACTTGGAGTGCATATTCCATTGCGTCATCTGGCATCGCCAATTGTCCACCAAGACTTAAGGTAGGATTAGTCGCGCACTGGCGATGCAAGCCGTGTCTGAATCGGATTCTGCGGCGCCACCCCAACCGCCACGCTGGCTTAACTTGGAACCAATCACAATTTCCCCATTTCATGCATCAATTACGACAGCGCAATGCACTGTCAGCCTGAATCAAAAAAGCAATCACAAAAGGAAACACAGGCGCCACCCAAACCGCCACTTTGGCGTGACTTGGGACCAATCTTAAGTACACTATCTAACGTGTCAGCCAGAACAGAGCAACGCACTGTCAGCCTGATCAGAAGCACTCAGAAAGGAAACAAAATGGAAATCCGCTTGACAAACGCGTGTGATCACCTCCTGGCCTCCTTCGTCGATCCCCATGTCCTTCACCGACATCGACGCCTTTACGTCATCCACAGTCGTCTCCGGAGCGAGCCCGTGAACGAGGGGCAGCACAAACTCGCGAGCCCTGCAAGGCAATTCAGCCCAAGGGAATACAATGAACAATCTGCTATTAGTATCTTAAGTATAGCTGATGCAATACATCTGATGCAACACCAAACATGCAAATGCCATACGCAGATGGAGAATATAAAAATTCAAGGTACAAATCCCTTGATGTGTGTTCAAGAATGCGGCGGCGAAACGGCACTCAAACTACCGCTCAGCAGGTTCCCCTCCCAATGAAGCGAGATATATATCCTGTGCACAGTATCATACACGCTATACACCGTCAGTCAACCATGTCAGAGAAGCGCTATTCAAAAATCACGCAGTTCACTAAAATTCGCGCAGGGTTTAGCTCTTCACAACACTTGGCTGCACCCTATTTCAGTCGCATCGAATATGGGGTGGCAGGCCTGGGCTTGCGTGCATGTATGGACAAACATGATTCCAATCCATCCTAATATGTACTTATTCCCTTCAAACGTAGTTTAGTGTGCACAACTGCGGGCTTACGGCGCATGCTGCACATTTATGCGCCGAGCTTGACAAGCACTACATATACTGCGTGCAATAGCATATACTGGTACAACAGTATATACTGCACCCAATTCGGCAAAAGGCACGTTACAACATCCACATGCTCACAATAGTGAAGAGCATGCAGTGTACATACACTATGCTTACTGCAGGTGACATGATTTGCAAATTCGAGAGGGTTGCCCACCTAATCGTATCGCGGGATCCCAGGGGTATCCGGAATCGGCGTAGGCCAGCCAGCTCCACACGAAGGTCCCCACTCAGACCGCCGCTCACGTTGCTATACACGAGGCCCTCCTCCAAAACAAGGAAATACCTGCAGACAGGAAGGTGAAGCTTGCTCATTCAGCACAACACTCTATGCGAACGGCACCAGAAATTAGCGCTGCTCATCATTGTTATAGCAAAGCAAAGTTGCCAACGTGCGCCCAGCTTTGGAGCGTTTGCGATTGCATGGGCGCGCCCTCCACACATCCCAACTCATCGTCAAAATCCATGGATTACATTTGTCACAAAATGAAGAAACACAGCCCGTGCACCTGGCAGGTGATGATGGGCGTGTAAACCAAGCAGACAGTTTGTTCGGAGTCGATTATTCATGGTTCCATGTCGCCAAACCCTATTGTCCCATGAAATGGGCATCCACCATCCCAACTCCGCAGGTGGCAGCTCTGCCATCCACAATTCTTCTTGTTCGAATCCAGCCCTTTTGCATCATTTTCAACATATCAGCCCCTTCCCTTTCGTGGAATGGAATGCAACGCTGGTGCAGTTTTGAGCAATTTTCGTGCAGGTATTACCTTGCTGAAAGTAGTATTAAATACTACGTATCGTGCACAATTTCGCAAAAGGGGGGCCCATAGAACTGCACTGCAGCGGTGCAGGGACTACATGAAATCCGGCGCTGGCAAGGGAAGCACGTCCTTGCGTAAAGGTCGCCCAGCCAAGAGCCAATGGTGGACATAATGCCCAAAGGTATGCTGATGTCGTCACACTGTTGCAACAAAGTTTTACTGCGCTTTCACCACCAATGCGCAATTTTCACCGATACAATGCGACCAAAACCCTTGGCTCATGACAGCGCGCACTCCTTGGACATGGGTGGGAAATTGGTGAAATGGTCGAATCGTTGGCAATGGGCTGGGCATGTAATTCGCGACACCATCCGACTCAGCTCACCAGGTGTCCGTCTCCAGCTGCCCTCCAGTGAAAGTGACGTTCACACAGCTGCTCTCCGGCTTGTCTGGCTCGCATGACGTCACGCCGGCGGTGATGTTGGCCGCCGTGTCGCCATCGCGGAGCACCTGCAGCGAATTTAGTCCACAGTTTAACTCACTTTAGTTTAGTTTTTGAAATTATGCCGTCCGTTGAGCCGCCATTGTCCACGTCCATTATGCACTGCGCCATTTCGTTACGACATATGCCTCGCGAGTAAGGCATTGCGCGGGCAACAAGTTGTTACTACCGATCACAACGCTCCATTGCACTTGAGCATTGGAATGATACAGAAATTTGTCAACATTGCAATTACAAATGTAATCACCATGTCTTGGTAATATGGCGCAAAACAGTAGTGATGTCCTGTCAGGCAAATGCGGTGGCATGTAGCGAGAATAGCGAACCCGACAATGGAATGTAGCCCTTTATGGGCGCCGGTCCCAGCGTTGGGCGGTCCCAGTGTTGGCGGCGGCCCGCTGCAACACTGCTGATGAACCACGCTGTTGAATTGCAACAAGCAAAGCCTGTGGCGAAAACATCGGCAAGTAGCCATTTGATAAACCGTTGCAACACGTGACTAAGAGCGCCATGTTTGCAGAGCATAGAACGCCTAACAATGCATGACACATACCAGAGCGCATAAACATTATGCACCAATCATGTGATTAAAATGTACCGTATGTACATTCTATGCAACGCGCAACATAAAGTGGCCGTCTGTCGCCCGCGCGATCTGTTCCTATTCATTTGTGGCAACAAATCCTGCATCTGAAGCGGCCCCTTTTTGACTTATTACATTCTACCGTGTCTTTCTCATTACGCATCACGATTTCTCAATTGATGTTTGACAATTTCAAACGACTATTGGCTCACTGCTTGATTGCTGATGACACTCGCGCTCACGGCCATGACATGCTGATAACTTACCTTCATATTTTCCTGCAGGGTGCTGGGAGACACGTCATGGGAGAATTCCAGAACGACGATTCCTGGAGGTACCCACACATCCAGGAATGAATGCGCGCCGGATCGGTTGATACAGCAAGCAGGTGCAAAAAAGTAGCAACCAGCGCGATAGGGAGCAATGAAGCGCACTAGGAGGTGACTCCCTCGGCGAAGCAGTAATCGAATGAAACTTGCCAATCCGTTTGCTACAATCTTACTACAGGAGAGCCTCTCGACGCCTCCGAGAACGCGACAACAAGAGCCCAATCCAATTGACAATGCGCAGTTGCTAAATGGTACACAATCAAGCCCCGAAATCCGAATTCGACACACGACCCCGTCACCAACGATCGTGCAATGCGCGTCGAACCGTCAAATACGCAGTGCAGTCGCAAAACGCTATCCTGCAGGAAAGCAAAGCGCCTTGCAAATCTTTCGCAAACGCGCCAGTGAAGACAAATGTACAAACGTTTTGTAGGAACTTGTAACACACGAACGAATGCAAACACAAATAAAGATGCAAAATCAGAGCAACATGCATATAGAAGTTGCATGTACACTAGTAAATGTGCAGTCCAAAATACACGGTTTTGAAATCGTGCACCCTGCAACATTATTGAAAATCGTGTAGATATCACGTTGAATCGTGTTTTGATCATTTAAAAAAGTTTAAATGATCCTTTATATTTATATGATCCTTTAAAGGAACCATACCGTGTAGAGACGATTGAGCGAGTGTACGTGATTTTAACCGCTCTGGCACGGTTTTACACGATTCTTACATGGTTAGAAACCTTGCATTTCGTCCATTTTTTTACTTGTCGTGGACATGCAACTTAAGAGAAGAACTTGGCTTCTTTTCTGCCACGCCGCACTCACCATCAGGCGGGACCTCGGGGAACTTCTCGTTTTCAAAGTATGTGCAATCTTGGCACCAGCGGCCGTCCGTGAGCGCCTGTGCCATGTCGGAATCCACGTGGACATTCTCCAAAAACAGGGTGGGCGTCACCAGGACGGTGGGCCCCACGCCTGACAGGTTCAGTTTCACACCTGGGTTTGGAAACGGCACCCCGCCAGTGAATATACGACGGCAAGAAGATTGTCGAAAACTGTACAGAAGTATTGTCAGAACACGAGAATGCTAAACCACGGGGAAGACTGCACAGTGCAGTTGCGTTTTAGCAGGCCTTGCATTTGTGACAAGTCCAGTCCTTCAATATTTCCAGAATTGGGCAGTTGCTGTGCGAAACAAAGTATTTTTGCACCAGCGAGAGCCAAATGCTGCCTGGCAGCGTTCGACGCGATTTCAGCAACTTGCCAGTCTAACCTGGGCATTTCCTTGAAGCTGCTGAGTGACAATCGAAAGCTGTAACCTCAAAATGCAGTGCGCATTGCAAGATGCAAGAATTTGCACGGAGTCAACCAGTATTCTGCGCAACAGAGCATTGCCAAGATGCCTGCCGGAAACGAAGGAGAGAATGGGCAGACAGTCCAACAAGTGCACACAGCACTGAATTTGCGCATGGTGCGTTGCACAGTTTGCACAGTACATCAGCGCCATACCAAGCAAACAGAAGAATTACATCAGCACAGCTGTTGACATGCACCAATACATATGCAAACTGCCAAAGCTGCAGCATTTAGCAGTGAATCAGTGGAACTACTAAACAATTTGTTAACCTGTTAGATCATTCATTCATTACGCAGGCACTCACTTTATGGTTCGTGGCTTCCTACGAGGGTTCAGGCCCTATTTGTGGACAAGCACGTTGCTTCAACTCACCGTCGAAGGTCGTCAAATCCCTATTCCAGACGAGATTGATCTCGCGGTCAGGCCAGTACCCACCAGCTGGGTCGAACCGAGCGATGGAAGTTGTGACCCACCGGAAGCTTCCTGGGATTTCCGGATCAAACGTGAAGGGGAGCTGCAGGGGAGCACAAAATAATATTGCTGCAATGAGCAACAAAAGCATGGACAATCTAATGGCAAGCTCGTGGAGCAGAAGAGCAAAGCAATGCAGCGAATGGACACTGCATTGTGGTCTTTGCAACTGAAGCAAAATCAATTGGGTGCAGAAATAATATCGTTCTTTATCTTAGAACTACAGGTGCCTTAAGGAACATGTATTTGCACCTGCGAGGACAGATTTCTCGACGCTTCCACATGGCTATAGACACGGCTGTAGACGGCTGGAAAAATCCTGAGCTATTTGTGTAAGCTGTGTCCAGAATGCACCAAACCCAAACCCCTAAATTCTGTACACGTTTGAACACGTGCTGTTTGGCCCTTTTCTCCTGAGTGTCTATCGTCAATTCGGGACAGCACCGTAACCTATTTGCATGGCATTGAGGAGTGGGCTCAGTTGTGCAATACCACTATTAATTTCACTGAATAGTTCGATTCTCTATTCAATCGCAATGTACCTTGAATAGCAATGTGAGACTGCAAAGAAGCAATGGAAAAGACTGCATACCACGTTGGCTTTTGAATGCCTAAATCACAGGGAACCCCTTGTCATCACCTTTTCTTGAGGCACCCCATCAGAGCCAAAGTCCTCACCAAGCGCAATGACGGACCTGGAGTAAAGCACCTGAACACAAACACCAGCAAACAACAGAACAATTTCCAGAGTTAATTTCGAACATATTTCTTTACATATTTCTTTATTGCTGCAATTCGGCAGAGCAAAATGTTACGACATGGACCAACTTGTGCTATGTTGACAGTGTTCTTGGTGGCTGTTTGACAAGTGAGATATGAATGCACCAGAACAAAGCAAAGCAAAGTATTGAAAACATAGGAAGCTATGCAGAACATGGCGACTGCAGATGGCATCGTTGCTTACCCATTCAGTTTAAAGTTTTGTTCAGAAATACTGCGAACTTCGAAGTATTTTCCATTTCAATGTCATTTACATGTTGATTGTTACTTCCTTCAGAGTATGCCTCATTCACTTCAATTGTTAGTGTTTCTCCACAAGATTCTAAACATGCTGTGTCCCAGATCACACCCTTTCTCTGTCAAGGCGCAAGCAAGCAGGTATCACGTTGCCCTTTTCAGCAGATGCAGCCAAAGTCAATTGCCAAGGCGTCTTTCTACAGATATTCGATCGTGGAGGCGTGGTCAATTATGAGAGTTCAAGTTTCTCCTCCTTTGAAGTAAGCAGGCAACACTGTTGAATCAGCTCCTGCTGTCAGGGAAATTCCCCAAACTTTGCCCCGTCGGTGACTGAACCGACTGCTTGAATGAACCGAACTGCATTTCAGCATCCCAGCACGTGGACCACTGGAGGTTTTACCTTGTCACAGTCCGAAATATTATGTCATGTTTGGGAATGAGCAAAGTACGTGGAGCGACGGAGAGGTGGTGGTGAAACCCTTGCCAAATGACAAATGCCAAGGGGCCTACATATTGCACTGTTCGCTCGACACACTGTTGAGCTCACTTGTGTGTGAATGACTCGGTCTTTCTTTGCTCCACTCCGAATGCAACATGCCCCAACTTAATTTAGCCCAAAGCTGTTACCCATGGCATGTGTCCAGAACAGTCTTGAAACAACTGTTCGTGGTGCGCACTTCGCAGCTAGATTCAGCAAACCCCTCATGCTATGGCCGCCAGATGCAACGGACGAAATAGTTCCCAGCCTTGCCTTTACTCGACACAGCAACGTTTTTGCCAAAACTCCATTTCTTCAGCACATCTTTTTGGGGGCTTGGAACAACTAACCACCAGAGATACACTAGCCAGAGACAACGATTTCAGCTGAGGAAAACACCACGGCGCTGACTGATTCCCCCACGAATGTTCGATACCCTTCATGTTCTTCAAGACCTGCGTAACTTCATGTCCAGAAATGAATTCGTATGACCACGAAGGTCAGGACGTAAGGAAGTCATGAATCCATGAAGGTCAATGAAAGTCATGTAGGTCATTTTTCGCTTCAGGGTGTTTTAGGGTGTTAAGGGCGTTTCAGTTTGTTTAAGGTGTTTAGGGTGTTCAGGGGGTTCAGATTTCCAGGATTTTAGGTCCTGGCACCCTTCACGACTTTCCTATCTGGCAAAGACAGGTACCATCACCATTCAGTTTTACACAACAAGGCGAAGAGGCAGCGGTCAGCGATAGGTACTATCGGAGCAACCTCGATGCTCCGGACGCGGCCGGAATGACGTTAGGCCGGCCCCTCACCAACCCTAATTGGAACCCCCCGCATTGAGCCAGTAAGCCCATCGACGAGCACGAATGACCGACCCGCGGCCGACCTGGCTCATGATTGCCCCGACGTGGCCGTGTGGTACACCCACCGTCAGCGCCTGCTCCCCTCCAACCTCCACCCGGCCCTCCCCTGCCAGGTCGGCGGGCGTCGTGGCGACAATCTCCAGGGGCAGGTCGCCGGCCAGGAAGCCACCGTCGTCGGCACCGTCCTGCAGCAGCTGTCGCGTCATGCGCTCTGACGCCGCCATCGGCCGACCGCCGACGCCGCCCGCGAGGAGCAGCGTCAACGACATCGCCATCATCAACCTGGCGAGCGGGGCTCCCCCTGGCCAAAACACACGGACGACTTTGTTTTCGCCTTGTTTTCGAATCCGGCGTCGGATTTTGGCGCTCCGAGGCGGCCGTCGGCCGATCGACCGGGCTGCCCCCGTTGAGCAGAAGGGCCATGGCGAGCCAGGGGCAAGATTCGCGGCCTATGGCAGGCGTTTAGTGTTCAGGGGATTACTCAACGGGCGCGTCATGGGGAGGAGGAGATGGGCGATGGCCGGTCTGGAAGGGTAGGGAGGCAAGGACGGGTGGGGTGGGTGGGGGAGGGGGGGTTTTGCGCGGCCAAGCGTTGGCGTCAAGGGCAGAGATCGGATATTGGAATCTCCGAAGGGGAAATTGGAATCTCCAGTTGGGCGCTAGCGCGCGCATTTTGCCTCTGGGCTGGCGGGAAATCGCGGATCTCGCGGGAGAGGCTCGATGCGAGGCGGGGCCGGGAGGGCGCGGCGCGCGGCAAGGGCAGCATGCCCGGGATCTGCGATTCACGACCGAGGCCCCACCTGGCAGCCCAACGTGCCGCGGGCGCCCGCAGCATGGCGCCATCCCCTCCTCGCCCTCCAGCCGGCCCCGGCGATCCGGCCGTCGATCGAATCGAGCGCAGGCGATTGGCAGCCAATCCCGATCGACGGATGAGGTGGCACGGATCCCGCCCGCCCTCGCGTAGCCGTGGCGCAGCCGGGGGGAATGCGGGATGCCAACCAGCGGGACAGGAAATGGCGGTCTGGGTTGGTGGTCTGGGTGGGCGCCTGGCCTGCTGTTCCGGGCTGGCGCGGCGAAGCCCCGGACAACGGGCGAGCTACCCGATCAGGGGGATCGGGCGGGGAGGGCGTTGGGTCAAATGGCACAAGGGGCGAGTGTGACGGGTTTTGGGCGGGAGGGCAATTCGTGAACTTGGATGGGAAGTGGGGCGGCACGCCGTGTGGGGCGGCGGGGCGGCGCTGGTGCGCCGCTGCTGCGCTCGCACCTCTTTCTCTGGAATTTGAGCTGTTGTGGTACGGGAATCTCCCTTGTTTATGCGAGAGATATTCCCGTACCGAGACAGCCCAGATCCCGCGAAGAAAGTGCCGGGATCGTGGTGCGCGTCGGAGCGGGGTCGCTGGGCCCGGATTGCTCTTTTCACTCGACGTGATTCGGGCCGTCACCCGTCCAGGTGACACCCAGATGACGCCTGGGTTACACGAAGGAGCCTGATACCGCTTACAAGGCGCAACGACGCGTGCTGTGGACTCTGACAGCCGCCATCGAAGCGCACCACACGCCGACCGGGTTGATGCACGGTGCCCGTGTTCGCGCCAGGGCCACAGTCCCGGGAACCTTCGGCAGAGATGGGACCAGGGAACGAAGGTGGGCCCGCCCGCAATCCGACCGGATGACTGAAGCGATGCGGCAAAGCCGCCCAAAAGGCATGAAATTGAACCGCCCTGACCACCAACAACAACTTAAAGAACATACACAATAGCAAAGGCAGCCCCCAAACGCATCGTCACAAGGGCCACCCCCGCGCCGTCCCACGGCAACACGCCTCAGCAAGATGATCGACGTATCAGGCGAAGAGACAGCGAACCTGCTCCGCGGCTTGACGTCACCCGTTGCCCTACACCGATCCACATCAAACACTACCCAAAGCCAAAGCCAGCCAAATGCCACATCACCTCTTCTCCCCAATCCACCCACCCACGCGGGGGAACCCGGGCACCCCTCACACACGCGCCGTCCGCCTGCACGCTGGGAGAACCCCGCGCCCCACGAGTCCGCGGCGACCCAAAGACTTTGGGCTGTGGCCTGTCCAGGCCAGTGGACTGCTGTCAAGGCCTTCGCTCCCCACATTGTGATTCAGCCCTCCGGCAGCCAGGCCAAGGGGCCCACAGGCGGCTCCTCCTCCACAGCCCAGCCTCCATTCTCTCCCCGTTCTTCCAGCGGCGCGGGAACCGCAGACAGCCGCAAGCCGTCGGGCGCCAAACACACAGCCTCCCACCCTCGGGCACCTCCCGCCCCCGCACCCACTGACGTTGACCCTGGACAATCCCCACATCCCAGCACCGCAAGGCGCTGCCCCCTGCAATGTGCCCTTCCCTTTGCAGAAACAAAGTGCCCACTCCCTTCGCGGCGCCAATTCCACCGCAGCGATCTGCAACTCGCCTCTTTGGCGGCCAGCCCCTCTAACAACCTCTGCAACCCTAACCTCCTCTTGGCTGGGGACGGTTCTCCTTGCCTTCTCTACCCTGATTGCCCACTCCCTCCTCCCCGCAAACTACAACGAGACACAAGCCAATCACGCAAGAGGGCCAGAATTGCAAGCGCAGAACCTAAAATGTGGAAACACGAGATCCCCGTGTGCAATTTCCCCGAGTCTTGTGGACCTCTGGGACACTGGATAGCATCAGAGATGGTAACCTACAGCACACCTCGGTTCAAGCATCCAGACCCCGCCGGGCGGGCGGGCTACCTGCTGTAGTGCCCCGAGCCGCGCACCACCCGCCCGTCGTCATCGAACGTCAGCGCCTCCGCCGCCATCCGCCCCTTCACCGACTTGTAGTAGATCACCACGCTCTGTGCGCCCACCAGCACGTCCACCAGCTCGAACCTCAGCTCCGGCATCCGCTCCAGTGCCCGCTTCCAATACGCCCCCACGGCCTCCCGCCCCCTGAGCGTGCCGCTGGCGTCCCCGGCGATCTCCACGATGAACGGCGAGGACATCTCGAAGTCATCCGTATAGTGCGCCAGGATTCTATCCAAGTCGTGGGAGTTCCACGCTTCGATCCATTCTTCGGCGAAGCCCCTGGCGAACTCCGAGTCGATCATCGTGGGCGGCTCGGGCGTCTGGGGCGGCTTACGGCAGATGCGGCCGTCCGCGAACCAGTCCTGGGCGGCCTTGTCGCTCCCATCCATGCCAGGATTCGATGAAGGGTAAAGTGGGGGGAGGCAGGGCGTCTGTCTGTTCGTCCGCTCGTTATTGTTGCCGTGGGGTGGGGTGGGGGGGCAGTGGGGAGAGTTTATCGGCGAAGGGGGGTGCTGGGGAAGCTGAAGGGCGGCCGTGGGTGATTAGCTGAGGGTTTGCCACAGGGGCGCGTGCTGCCGGGGTAATTTGGGAGCGCCGTCTCTTTCCGTTGGGAGGCTCCCCGAAGGCCAATGCCGTGCCGACGGCCCGCGTCTGACGTGCGCTCGGGCCCCCACCCGCGGCTTGGCGTCGTCGGGCGTGCCGAGAGAATGTACTAGTCCGTCTGTCTTTCTTGTGAAGACCCCTATTCTTCCGCTGACAAGGCCAGCGCCGGTCGGTGTCCGAAACAAGAAGGGGCCTTCACGGAAAACACAGGGCGTCTGATTGGGTGCCACCGGCGGCCTGTCGTCGGCGCGCGTGCAGATGAGGCGCGGTTGACGCTGGCGCGGCGTTGGCGTCGAGTGCGTCGCTTCTCACGTTGACGTGATGGGTGCGTTGTTGATGCTTTTTTGGATGTAGGTGCCCTTCCGGTAGAAATGGCTGTCTTGTCACTGATTGGTGAAGATGAGTGCTTCCCGTCTCGCGTTGTGATGGATGGGTGGTCAAGTTTGCTTCTTGCGCTGGCGCCTTTCGGTTGAAACGATTGTCTTGTCAGTGATCAGTGGAGTTGAATGATCCGTCAAGTTAAATTCGAATGGCTATTGTCACTTAAGTTGAATTTGGACCGTTGCTGTCAGCTAAGTTGAATGAAGGCTGTTGTGTCAATAGTTCTGCCGTCGCCGTGGGCAACGTCGCCGATGATGGCCGAAAGACTTGCTGGAGAAATTCAAATTAACTTCTTCGTGATGTTGTCCTTCTTCACCTTGGTGGTTCTTCAACACTGGAGATCTTTTAGGTGGAAAAAGGAGGATCTTAGGGAGTGACTGGGAGGGAGGTGGGGAACCTTCGGGAGATAATTGATGCGATATTGGAATTGAATGGTGGACTATCTCATCTCTCGGTTGCGTGGACGCATCTTGAAACTGGGTTTGAACAATTTGCAGCCAGTCATCGGTCGCAGTGTGATCACGTCATTGCGCCCTTTCACCAATTCCGGGCACAGGTCAGTTTAGGGAAGGCTACAGCAGTTGAACTGGACTTTTTTCATGAAACGCACATCCGCCGATCAGCATGTATATGGGCAGGTCCACGTTGACGGCAAGTCTCATTAAGAATTTCTCATGTCAATGCTCGAGGATTGAGCTAGTGTTCAGACATGAGCTGTTTCTACAGACGCTTTCCCCTGCTTCCTTATGGACTTCTTCTAGATTTGTTGTGGGTGTCGCTGTGTGGAGGTAGACCAACAACTCCATGAAGCCCTTCAGACCGCGTCGTGTCCTTTGTATCAATATGGGCTCTGACGCCAAGTTCCAATTCTTTTCTACTTCCCTGTCTACGGTGGCGCACGCCGATGGCACACAAGCTGATGAAACTACATTAAAGGACAAAGGTCTTTGCTAGAATGTTCTGGAATTTAATGCAAAAAGTATTGTCACTACGCCTCCAGGAAAGAACAGGGAGCTGATGGCCACCTTCTTGCCCTGAACTGTATATGATTGTTTGGTCGTTAGACTCACTGCAGGAAAGGAGAAGGCTGCCACACAATGAGTATCCCTTCACGAACAGTAACATCACAAGATTTTGTTCCAACATGCAAAAGGAGACGCAAACGTCGGATGGATGTGGCGATGGTTTGAACCCGCGGCCAATTTGTCTGTTGGTGTCCGGGCCAGCTCATGGCTTTCTGTCCAGCAGCATTTTCATGTCAATGAAAGTTTGGGGAGCGACAAGAATCTTGTCAATTTGGGCCATTTGACCTTGGATCACTTGGGAGCCACAGACCCTCCGAGGGATTAGCTAAGAGGGTTTTCAGTCTCCCATTTCGGCCCACGTCTTGTTTACCGAAGACTTGATCCACCGTCAGCGAGTCTCTGTCAGCTAGATGTGAAATGGAGAGGGAGAAAATTGCAGACTTGGGCTGATCTAGGCGTTTATCAGCATACTGTGAAATGTTTGGCATTGTCAAACGAATGGATATTGTTGAAAGGGAATGTGTCGGACATCCCGACATTGTCCAAGGTTTGGCAGGCAGCTGTTCAGTTATGCTAACTGCTACACGCGTTTGGGAGGCCAGTTTTGACCTCTGATAACAGCCCGCAACTGGCACAGTTCTCGGTCATCAAACCGATGATGCAAAGCATATTGTGTTGAAATACCGTGAACTATTTTGAATGTCAAACCTAAATCGCATAGATCCAGCAGCCAACTGATCGATACCGCCTGATTCCGCCGTGCAGTACCATCCTAGCGTTGACGATACTTATTTCGTTACTCGGGACTATAAATTTGCTGCCGGTCACAGGCACCGGTGTTGGTTGCGGGCGGCGGTGCGGAAACCGAATGCTCCGGGGCGAACGCTCCACCACCGCAAACGACCAACCCCGATGAACATCGCTGGCCCACACTTTAAGCGATTCAACGTTCCTTAAACGTTTGAAATGCCCTGTCAGCGGAATTTCCGCCGTTTGGTGCTGAAACTCAAATGCCACGCAAGAGTCCCGCCCAAGCAGCGCACTCAGCCGCCTGTTTCATGAAAACTGCATTTCAGCTGCATTGCCCGAGACTCCTGTTTGCAATCAAATTGCTTTGGAAACCACTGCCAATGGCAAAATAGCGATGAAGGAAGCAGTGGGGTGTTGTCAACGTAGCGTTGAAAAGGATTACTGGGGCGACAAATAATGCGCCTGCACGGCACACCGATCCGGCGGTCGCGGTCTGCCCAAGAACAAGAAAACCCACCTGTTTTGAGCTCCACAAATCCAATTGAAGTCTGCCGAAATTGCAATTGCTGAACCCCATCAAGGTTGCCCATATAAGTGCGGTGTGTATTTGCCACAATATAGCCGCAAATGCGGTTCATCTGCTAAATGAACCCGGACTGTTTCAAGAGATGCTTCGAGCAAATTTCATCGTTGCACACGTCCTTTGAATCATTCACATTGTGAGAATATCGGATGGCGGAGCGAAAACGCGATGGCTGAACAACTGCTAACACAAAACCATAGCGAAAAAAGTTGGTCCACTGTTTCTACCAGGCCATTTGGTGCAGTTCTCGTGTTTCTATGAAGTGCGCATCAACTAATCCCCTTTGAAGACGCACTTTCTTGTACTTGCAGTTCTCTTACTCATCCAGAAGGCTCTAAAGCAGCCAGTTTGCCACTTCTCCCAGAGCACAACACCCACGCCCCATCAAAACATCCGATACTCAGCAACTCTCCATAACCAGCGCCCCGCAGCGTCACTCAATCCGTTGGGGACCCCTGGTGGGCGTGGCAATGGGACATGGGTGGGCCCCTGGTGGGCGCGGCCTTGAGACAGGCGGACGGGCACGAGAGGTCTGAGCGTTTGGCAGGTGCCAAGGTACGAATTTGGAGACAATGAAGCTAGGGAGAGTTGTGGCCAGCAAGCAGGAAGGAGATGAAGAGGCCTTTGGGATGTGCGGGGCACCACAAGAGACAGGTCCACGCAAAAAACGGTGCACAAGCAAGGATGCGACAGCCCTTTAGGGGTCCTATACTAATTCAAGGTGCTTCCAGGAGCATCTTATACGTTCAAGGCAATTTCCTAGTTGCAAGAAATTGATGGTACTGGCTATCTGTAGGCGATGAAAGTGCAAAGGAGGAGCAAATTGACAATTAAATAATGTGCAAAAATTTGTTCTTCAGTACACCAGTACCAGCTATTGATAGTTTAAGGTGTGAAACTTGATTTCACATCCTACTGATATTGAAGCCTACTTGAATAACGGAACATTGAAGTTGACACTGGTTTTCTTTGTTGCACATGTACCATATTAGATGAATGGGGCATTCTTTTTTATGATATGTGTCTGTCTCGTTGCAGTGCATGATTTGGGGAGCATTTTAGATACATGTCCTGTGCATTATGTGCGATAATGATTTTTTTATATATTGGTACTTGAACATGCATGTGCTTTCTCCTTTGCACCCACATATGTAAAGCCATGTAAACATATAGAGACAAATACACACAGAACCAGTGCAGTGTTGGATTGATAAAATTAATTGAGCACATGTCACGACTTGCTACAAATGGACTCCCTCCCTCCCTGGGGGCATCGCACCTGTCTGGTGAGTTCATTGGGTTACTTCAAAGTAGCCTCAGGCTACAGAGAAGGCTTCCCTGTTGGTGTCGCTTGGTGTCGCCTAATTTGCCCCCGGGAGGGAGTGGAGTCGTTTCAAATGGGAAACATTTAGAACACGCCGCCCCCCTACCCCTAAGTATTATCGCACCTGCCTAGTGACCATGTGACATGTTTTCTTGGTGAATCTTGCAGGAAGTGCTTCGTGATGACTACGTGTAATTTATTGTGCATAGTGTATGTATGTGGTGCAAGGACCACATCTATTACAGTGAGTATTGTGTAATATAGTTTATTGTGCCTAGGAGTAGGAGGGCAAGACATGTTTACACTCCTTTTGGAAATAGTGGCGCAACCATGCACTTTTGTGTATTAAAATTTGCACCACTATTTGCAAAACGAGCGTTGATCAAGCGTTTGGTAATCATCAGCACAAGCACAATACCATTGATCTCAAACAACTAAAATATTGCCTTGAATTATTATACCCTCCTGTCGGCACCTTGATTCCTGCCATCCCAAAAAGCTGGGGCATCCTTGCAAGTACACCATTCGTTGCGCGCACCTGTCCCCTGTGTTGACCCTCACCTCCCAAAGGTCCCTCCAGCTCCCTCCAACCCACTGGCCACAACTCTCCCTAGCTTCAAAGTCCCCGGCGCTTCGCTGCATCATTTACGGCACGTAACAAGAGCACAGCTTAGTATACCCATAGTATGGTAGCAGTATTGCTACTATGCACTAGCATCCTTG